TCCCTATTGGCAAGTACTGAAACTACAAGGTTTCTCATGCTTAGACCTTCAATTTGGATATAATTGACACCTTCAGACTTAGTAGCAAGAAGAAACAATTTCTTATAGTATTGATGTTTAGGTAAAAACGAGGATTGGATTAGAATCGTTTTGGTAACATTCCATGGCAGTATTCATTGGTTCAAGGGCGACGACATGAGCAGATTTTTTACATCAAATGCGACTAATATAACAAAGTGACTAAATTCTCGGAATTTTTTTGATAAACATTTCAGATTTTTTTTATGAAGGATGAAGCACGAGAAACATAATTAAAACACATCCATGCGAGGAAGTTTCCTTACAATACACAGAAGAAACATACTTTACAATAAAGTTTTATTTAATATACCTAAATTTGAAAGTTCACTGATAAATTACTTTATTGTTCCAGTTGCTTAGTCGTATGCTTGTACATTACCATTGCAAGTTAGAAAATATAGTAATGGTGAAAAACTCGCTAAATTAAAATAATTTTATTACACTGAAGTAGTTTATTTGATCCTAATGTTAATAATACTGTTCATAAAAATCTTTTTCTTTTGTAAAAGGAACAGTGTACTAATTTAATAAGCAGTAAGTTATGCCAAAATTTGACCATTGAAGTTATATTAGAGATTATAAAGTAGGCTCATCACGAAGATGACAGATTCAAGTGACATCTATACTTTTTACTTTTAAAGTGGGTTTTCTCTAACCAAATACTTGAATCTAAAACAGTCTTTAGGCTAAAGCAGGGAGTTCCCAAACTTTTTAGCCTGTGGCCCTCCCCTCATCCATCCCTTAGAAACTCAGACTGAATTATTTATAATAAACTTTAAATAATAGTCATTCCATGTTGCTTTACTTTCATTAGAATCTATTCTTTAAAGAAAAAAAAGAAAGATCTGAAGCATTAACAGCTATGCAGTCATATTTATTAAAACAAAAAAAAATATTCATTAATTATACTTAACATAAGACATTATTATTAGGTCTATAATATTTATAACACTAAATTCTTTATCTAGTCCTTTATGGATTTTCAAGAATTAGAAGTGTGTATAATAATAGTATTTCAACTACACTATGTTCGCCATATCCATTGCCGACAGTGCATTTCATTCAATAGAACCGTTATTGTTACAAATGGCTTATATAAATAGTGTTATGACCATTGCTGTGTTTGTTATGTCCCAGCCAACTTAATGAGCTCTGGATTGAGTGAAATGCATCGTCGCTTACAGTTATGACGAACTTAATGTGGTTAAAACACTAGTTTGTGTTAAAGTTAAACATAAAAACAAATGTTTAATTTTTTTTGTTAAAACAATACTAAAAAGGTTTATTTACTTCACAAATATTGCTGTACCAGTTTCATCAAGTCCAGAGGTATTACAAACAATGTTAAACAACAAGTACCTGACAAAACAAGTCTTTATTTTATAGGATAAACGTCAAATACAAATGATGATATTTTACTCTTCTTTCTCAATACACAGGGTTGTGTCGGCCAGTATAACAGGTTAAAAAAATTATATAAAACAACTTTTCAATATCCAGAAGGTTGACATTGAAACTAATCACATTTTTAAACAACACTCTACAGAGGTCAGATTTGTAAAAAAATATCTTTCTCAATCTCCACTTCTGTAAAAGAGATCAAGATTGGTTAGAATTCATAACAATCACCAATCTCAAAACTTATCAGTGTTGTTTTTTTTTCCCAAAACACCTCTTTAAATCAACTGCTTCCTGTTCTATAATGCTGTTACACTTAAAAGTTTTAATATTTCAGAATATCAAGCAAAAATTAAAATACAAAGCAGTTCTAACTGTACATTCATTAAGCTTAGTTACCTTGCAAACTAGCCTTCTTAATAAACAAGCAGCTGAAAGGTTACACACAAAATAAACCACCTTACATTTAAGTGTTCCTAGTTTCTGAATTTAAAAACTGTTTTCTAATCTAGTCTATTCTTCAACAAACCTTCAGAATGATGTATTTATTAACACAATGGACATAACTATGCTAAAAAAGGTGGGTATCTTGGGTAAGTTAAAAAACGTACTTATGCATATGATTAAACATATTTTTCCATAGAAACTTGGGGAACCTCATTTTATGACAGAAAAGAAAAAACACATTAAAATTTCTATACTAGATTAGAAAGTTAACTACCTGTAACTGGCTTGAAAACCGAATATTTATCAATTCAAGAATTCTGAAGAAAGAGTGAACAATATGAAAGTATTGAATTAAAAAACAAAAATCCTGTATTTCCACTATGATGAAATAAATCATTTTCTAAAACAACCTATTCTTTCTATAGTTAAGAAACATTGGTGTATTTGTTCTAACCCTAACACTCTTCCATTTTACTAAAACTAAATTTAAAAAAAGAGGAATATTGGTGTTAACAGGTAATCTCCACGAATATATTTTCATGTTTTAATCAGCTATAAGACAGTTCTTAAACAACAGTTTAACCTGACATGTAAAATTGGAGAAGTACAAAAAAGTTGACATTTTTTTCTGTTAATAAATTGGTCTGAGCTTCTGTTTATCTTGAATTACACTGAAGGTGTGGAACAGCTCAGCAATGAAAGCAGATTTTTTTATGATTTGTTTTGTTCAGAGTGAATCAGCTTGGAAAGTAAAGGTTACTCTGTCAAACATAACTGAGAAAGAACATGGTGTGATATTAAACCCCATAAACTTTCAGTGTACGATCCATGCTGACAGAAGCAATGAAGTGGGCATGGCGTCCAAACCTAACCCCTGTAGCAAGGGCTGTGTGGTCACTGAAGATTTTCAAGTTGTCCCACTGCTTGCAAAGATAAAGTCTAGAAGGTAGGAAAAAGATGTGTTTCAGTACAAAGCATAAAATTAAGCAAATTTCTAGAACTAAAAAGGTAAGAAGCATATTTTGGAAATTTTACAATAACTAACAACAGAAATTTTAACACAATATCAGATAGACTTTAGCATTTTAAACAATTGCAAATTACCACAACAAAAACAGATGCACTCCAACAATAAAAACTGTTACCTTAAAACTAGGTACACTGTAATACATTTAAAAAGAGAAAAACTGTTTGCAATAACAAAGTTGCATCTTAACAATCAATACTGTCAGCTAAAAAGTTGGTGCAACTTGAAATATCTAACAATCAAAACTCTGAACTGAAAAGTAGGTTAATCTTGAAATTTCTAAAAAATCAAAATTGTCAGCTGAAAGGTGCACCTTTAAATACTTAATGATTTCGTTTAATAAAAATAAGTTTGAAGCCCAATCTATCATTCAACTTGTCACTGAATTATACCAGGTTTGGGAAGTTCCACCCTCATCAGTAACCTTGGACAAGGGCAAATCAAAAGAATAAGATTTGGCTTCATACAGTGACGGAGTGACTATTATGTCTCAAAACACCACACATATAATGGTTTGTTTGAGGTATATGTGCAAGTCTGGTTCACACCACTAACTCTTGGATTACTATAATCAAATGGAAGGATTAGATCATCATTGTTATAATGCACCCATAGCCCCAGCAATGGGATGCAAAGAATGGACTCTTGAATTCAAAGTTTTACATGCTAACCGCTAAGTCACATCTGGCACATTTGACAGTGAAACTGCTAACTTAAAAATAGGAGCACCTTGAAATATTTAACAATGAATATGTAAATTGTGGTGAATTCTGTATTGGTGAAATAGATAGTTTAACATTAAGGATCAATTTACATAAATCCCCTGTTAGATGTCCCCCAAAAAGCCCACCATATGCCATAAAACATTTTAATGAATGTACAGTAATCCCTTGATAACTCTGAACATATGGGGCTAAAGCCATGCCAAGTTATCAAAAATTCCAAGTTATTCAGGTAATTTCCTCCCACCCCCAAATCACAAAATTTTTTGGCCCAAATAAAATACTATACACTACTGTTGTTTGAAAATAAATTATATTCAAAAAACTTTAAAAATTAACACTTAACAGCACTGCAGGCCGATA